TGTCAGATTCAAAATGGCCAATACCAGTCCATTTCAGCTCACTAATGCCTAAGGTATCGATGTTGATGCATTCCATTTCATTTTTGACAACTTCCAATTTTCCCAGACTCATACTTCGTACATTCCATGTTCCGATTTTCAATGGATGTTTACAGCTGTTTCTCTTCATTTTGATTTGTGGCCCCATTAGCAAATGAAGGTTCTGTGAGCATTTCTCCCCCGAGCTTAACTCTATTCACGTCATCGTGGTCATCTTGGTCAACTCTACTTTGAGGAGGCATTTTTATCCCCAGTCACATTCTGAGTGCCTTCCCACCTTCCGGTCCTGTATCTGACAGTGTTCTCTGTTATTCATAGAGTTTTCAGTGACTAGCAATTCGGAAGTAGTTTGTCACTCTTTCTTCCTAGTCTGTACTACAAACTAACAAAGGAGTTGTGGGAGATTCTCTTAGAACACTTTAAACCAATTGGTATTTACAAGGAATCTTCTTTTTCAGGGGAAAAAAATTTTGAAAATGACATAAAAAAATAAAAATACGTTGAACTGTATTGCATCAAATGAAAGTTAAATTTAGTAACTAATTGTTATTGCTGTTAAGTGTTGTCAAGTGAGTTCTGACCTACAGTGACCCTATATAGGGTTTCTGAGGCTGTACATCTTTTCAGGACCAGAAAGCCTCATCTTTCTCCATATAAAACAGCTGGGGGGCTCAAACCTCTGACCCTGTAGTTTGCAGTCCAGTGCTTATCATATAGAGCCAACTCACTCCCCTTAGTAACTGCTTAGTTAAGCAAAATTCTTCAGGTCCTCTGAGGAAAGATACAAGACACCTTTCAGAGGCTCCAAAACCTACACATACCACAGAACCAATAAAAGTGTGACAAGAATTCAATGTGTATAAAAGTCAAGTCTTTATTAAAAGTTTAGAACACTTAAAAATTCATTCTTTGTGGGACTGGTGCTCTGTTCGATTCTGTAAACCTTCACTCAATTCACAATAAAAAGCTTTTTAAAAATTCATTCTACACATTTGAAAATAGGCAACATTTTTTGGTAGGATCAACTCACTGTGCTAAAATCTTTGTGTACAGTGAATTTCAACCCAATTTTGTACTGAATGACAAAATCCCACCTGGAAATATGTATAAAATTTATAATAGTATTTCTTAGCTTCAAGGAGAAAAGCAAAAAAATATTCAGTTTTAAGCAAAAAATGTAAATATATGCAAAATATTTTAATTAGTGTCACCAATATATTTTTTTAACCTCTACAATAGCTCTCCCAGAAGATCTCAACTTAAGTGTAATTTCTCATCTCACCTTCTTCTCCGGTTTCCATTGCTTCCTGATGGCTTTGTTATCTGAGTAGACACAATTTGACAGTGGACAGTTCCCATGAGTAGCATAAGGCACAAGGGTCCAAGCACTTCACTTACGTTCACAAGAGGCATCATAAGATATAACACAATTGCAATAACTGAAAAGGAGAAGTTTTCAAATGTCAAACACTAGGGCTTTGTATAAATTATAGCTACAAAAATAAGCCATTTTAAAAACTACATAAGCAGAGTGAAAACTTGAAGCCCTAGATATCACAAAACAAGAGAAAGTGAAATGTTACAATGACTTGCCTCTCTGGTAGTATTATATATAATCTAGATACCCCAAATGACATCCTACCACAAAATAGCTAGATGCTATATAAAAGATAAAGCATAGCGGTTACGAATCGGGCTGCAAACCACAAGGTCAACAGTTCGAAACTACCAGCTGTTCCGCGGGAGAAAGATGAGGCTTTCTGCTCCCGTAAAGATTTACGGCATTGGAAACCCTCCCTGTACAGGGTCGCTATGAGTCGGAACCGACTCCACGGCACACAACAACAACAACATATAAAAGATGCACTCTGAAATGATGTTCTGCTTGGGAACTATTTCCCAAGGCTCAAGATAACCCAGGTAGTGATTAGCAAAGCTGGGATTTGAATACAGGTAGTCAGGTTCCAGAGTTCTCCCTTTTAATTCTACACTGCATTGCACATGTATACTTTGTATACATATATGAAATGGTGAAAAACATAAGTGAGGAAAGAAATAAGAAATATGAAGAAAATTATCTCTACAAATATTTCACACATAGATGGTAATAGATGATTCTTTCAGACTTTAACATAAAGATATTCTTGTGCTATATAAACTAAGCTATATCTGTGTGGAGAAAAAAAATAGAAAGCTATCAAATTTATTTTATGCCTAATATAACCCTGATAATCAAATTAAGAGCATCGAACAAAAAACTACAGACATTACTGTCTTGTGAATGTGAATATAAATTTACTAAAAAAATTTATATGCCAAGAAGGTTGGGATTTTTGTCTGTTTTAGATCAGCATTGGGCTGTGAGCAACAAGGTTGGCAGTTCAAACCCACCAGCTGCTCCTCAGAAACCCTATAAGGAGTTGCTATGAGTGTGCTTAGTTTCAGATTGAGAGGGGTAAGGTAGAATCCCCACAGGATAGTTTTCCTCTTGTCCAGACGGGTCTGGTGAAAGAGGATAATGGGGAATGGGGATAGGAGTTCATGATTCCATTGTGAGTGTGAGTAATTGTTATCAAGACTAAGTACAATGATCACAACTGTAAATGTAGAAGATGTATAACTCAAAGAGGGGAGCAGTTAACCTTTCATTTAGGAACAGAGGACCCTAGAACCATCAAGAGGGAAGAGTATGAGTAGAGCATGGGATCCTAATCAGAAAGACGGTGACAGCAGAGACTGGCAAAGGCGATGGCATAAAGAGATCGAGCAGTTGTGGGCTCTGGGCCTGTGGACTGAGAAAAGCAGTGTGTGGGCAGGAGGCTGGCTTGCAAAATGTGCCTTTGGACATTTAAACAAACGTGTATTTTCTGTTTTGTGTGTGTACATCAAAACAACAACAACAACAAAAAAGGGTGGGGATAGAGGTAAATGCTATTAGCCGATGGTACATGGAGAGAATTGTAATCACTGCAGTGAAACAAAATATGATTTGTTGAATGTAAAACTGATAATCTGCCCTATACATTTTCACTCAATTCACAATAAAAACTTAAAAAAAAAAAAAGAGTTGCTATGAGTCAGAGTGTATTCCATGTTACTTCACAACAACAAATACCTAGACTAATAGTTAGCACACAGTGGTGGTGGTGGTGGTGGTGGTGGTTATGTGTCATTAAAGTGATGCTGTACAGCGTTTCTGAAGCTGTAAATATTTATGGAAATAAAAGTCTCATCTTTTTCCCACAGAGAGACTGGTGGACTCAACCTGCTGACCTTACAGTTAGTAGCCCAACATGTACCCACTACATGCCTCAATATTTATTAAATGAATTAATGAATGTGCTATCAAATTAAATATGACAATATAACAAAAGGTAATTCATTAAGACCACATAGAAACAGAAATGCCAGGATAAAAAAAATCTATCTCAGAGCTGAAATGAGTACTTGGCACTGTACATGACACAGAAGTAATTTGTTAACTAAATTGAATTAATCTAATTTAATGTAGTTGTTACAAATAATTTCAATTGATGGTGAAAAAGCATTTCATAATAATCAATCCTTGCTCCTGATTTTTAATTAATCTCAAATGTTAATCTCTTCAAAAATACTAGAATAGAAAAATATTTCCTTAACATGCTCAAGAATATGCAGGAAAAAGCAACACACATTGTATCAGTGAAGACATTCTGAATCAGGAACTAAACAAAGATGACAATTCTTAATGTTATTAACACAATTCTGAAAATGTTCCCTAATTCAATTTAAAAAAAAAAAAAAAATGAAAAAGTCAAGACCAAGTTTTTAATTACTTGCCAAAAATATGGTCACATAATTAAAAATTCTAAGATATGTACTGAAAAACTATTGGAATGAAGGAGAGTTTAATTAAGTGGAAAGTTATAATTCTTTTAAATATAAGCCAATGGTATTCAAATACAACAGAAATAAACCAGTTAAAATTGGTAAACCAAACAATATAAAGTCTTCTATCCGCAGCAGCATCAACAAAATCAAAAACATTTGAATTTAGCTTTAGTAAGATCTAAACCACAAACCACACCCACTGCCATGGAGTGATCTTTACAGAAGTAGACCATCACTGATTCGCCCTCAGAGCAGCTAGTGGATACTAACTTCGGATCTTTTGGCTACCAGCCGAGCACTTTAACCACTTAGTCACAAGGGTTCCTTTTAACAAAATCTAAAGAGTCCTGGTGTGGCGCTGTGGGTTAATGCACCAGACCGCAAAGCCCTTTGAACTGCAAGGTCGGTGGTTCAAGCTCATCAGTGGCTCCTTGGAAACCCTATACAGGGTCGCTATGGGTCGGAACTGACTCAACGGCGCTTAACAACAAGCAGACCTAAAAATGGAAGAAAAAAAAAAATTCCTACAAAGCTTTACTGAGTGAAATATATAGCCGAAAATTTGACTAAAACAAGAAATGCAAGTAAATTCACAATAAAAACTTAAAAAATAACAAACAAGATGGCGGATCAGTGGAAGTGCAGTGAAAAGCTCCATCAGCAACCACAAAGAATACCGGACCAAGCAGGTTCAGGGGATGGTGCCAGAACTCTGAACCACATATAAAGGAATATTTAGAAGGCTGGAAGACTTACAGCTAGGGGAATTTGTAGTAGAAGCAAGAAATCCATTGCTTTCTAATTCAAGATGCTCAGCTCTCCCGGAGCCATCATCTTGAGAGAGACCAAGAGGGGGAAGAATCAGAGCAGCTACAGATGCCTGACAGAACACAGAAATATCTGTTCATTGGTCTCTTGCTGGCTGTGCACCTCCATTCTGGTGACTAGAGGGGGTGCCTGAGCGGACACCTCATACCCACCAACGGAGGTTTCTACTATGCATGTGCACAGATCTACATGAAATGTAAAGAGACAGTCTGTACTTAAAACCAAAAGGCAGTGCAAAACTGCCACAGTTGGCCCTGAACTGTTTATCACTAGGAAAAAGGCCTGAAGGGGGTTGTGGAGCAGGGCAGGCAGACTAAAAAGGAAACAGGCCGAAAATTAAATCCTGAGTTATGTCATAACGACTAACAGCGGCATCTTGAAATGTCTCAGGAAGAAGAGTGAAAAGGGATCACATCTACCTGGAGGCAATCAGAAAGCATAAAAAATACCATCTAAGTATTAAGTCCACAGCTAACTCTTGAAATATAGCCAAAAAAGAGAAACAGATGACCCTATCAGCACATGTCCAGAAACAAGATGAAGTGACTGAGGAAAATGAGCTGGAAGTAGACCTACACTCCATACTGGAAGATGGGCAGGCTTTGGAAAAGCCTGAGAAGGAATCCCGAAAAATGATTATACAATGTATTAAAACACTATACAATGCAGTTAAGAAAAATAAGGAAAAAGTCAGGAAAGTGCCAGGAACAATCAAATAAGATAGATACAGCATTGGAAGCAATTCAAAACCTACAGAAAGAGGTCCAAACAATTAATAATAGAATATCAGAAACGGAGAATACACTGAAAAGGCAAAGGAGTATAACTGAAGAGTTAGAAGCCAGAACTAGTGAGCTAGAAGATAAATATCTCAACACTAAGGTAGAAGAGCAAGCAGAAAAAAGGATTTAAAAAATCTGAAAAAGGCCTAAGATTCATGTTGTACAATATGAAGAATAATTTAAGGAGTTATTGGCATTCTGGAAAAGGAAGAACCACACAAGTCCACAGAGAAGATAGTTGAAGAGCTGCTGGAAGAAAATTTCCCTAACATTCTGAAAAGTGAAAAGATAAGCATTCAAGAAGCTCAATGAATCCCAGGAAGGATAGACCCTAAAAGAAAATCACCAAGACATATCATAATCAAGCTCTCCAAAATCAAAGATAAGGACAGAATCCTGAAAGCAGCTAGGGAAAAGAGAGATGTAACATACAAAAGCAAGCAAATCAGATTAAGCTCAGATCTCTCATCAGAAACCATGCAGGCAAGAAGGCAATGGAGAGACATATATAAAACCCTGAAAGAAAAAAAACTGCTACCCAGCAAAGCTGTCAATCAAATACGATGGTGTAATCAAAACATTCCAGGATAAACAGAAGCTAAAGGATTTTGCCAAAGCCAACTCTGCAATGAAAAATATCCTAAAGGGAGTTCTGTGGGCTGAGAACCAACAAGAACAGAAAACAACCAGAGATTGACGTACATGGCAGCATCACCCGGAACTCAATCAACAAATGGAAGAGTTGAGAACAGAATAAAATTATAAGAACAGAAGATCTGGGAGATCAGTCTATGATCAAAACAATTACAATGTGAAAGAAGGTAAACACAGAGGAACAGAGATCCAGGTGGTGATAAGGTCTCCTACAGAGCAGCTGATAGCTTCGAACCTCTGACCTTGAGGTTAGCAGCCTGACTTGTAACCACTATGCTACCAAAGCTCCTTACTTGCAACATTAGGTAGTGATGTGTAAATGCAGAAATTAAAACAGATATGATGAATTGTTATGCAGCCATTAAAATGATAGTTATGAAAGCTTTTCATAAAATGAAGAAAAGTTTATTAAAATGAAAAGTCCTAGCAAAATAATGGTATACCTTCCCTGTATTTATGTAGTCTCTATTCACATGTGGGAGTACTGGTATCGCACTATAGGATAAACACCGTACTGTTAACCACAAGGTTGGAGGTTCAAACCTACCAGCTACTCCTTGAAAACCCTAAATAGGGTTGCTATGAGTCAAAATCAACTCAGCGGCATTTAACAATAGCAGCAATAACAACATCCACATGTGGCTGTTTAAATTTAAGTAAAAGTAAATAAAATTTAAATTGTAGTTCCTTACTCACACTTACCATATTCCAATAATCAATAGCCACATGTAGCTAGTAGCTACTGTATTGCACAGTGTAAACATAGAACATTTCCATCATTACAAAAAATCAGCACTGTCACAACTTTAAAAGATTAAATTTACAGATTTCAGATGCACAGATGTATTTTTCACTCTAAAATTAATTAAAAAATCCAAAACAATCAGAGATAAAAGCAAAATCAACCATGGTCCTTTCACCCTAATCCAACCTTCTCTATGTCGTTTTGCACACGTGTAATCATGGGATATAATCACAGGTTAAGTGCTCAGCTTCTAAAGAAAGGTTGGTGTTTTGACCCATCCAGTGGGTCCACTGGACAAACACATAGTGATACAATTCCCTTAAGATCACAGCTTAGAAAATCCTATGGGGCAGTGCTCGGTCATACGGGGTAACTTTGAGTCAGCATCACCTCAACAGTATGTAAAAACAATAATTATCATTGGTGTGGTGTAGTGAATTATTTAATATGTCTCTTCTAGCCTTACTCTTTGTAATGCCCACCAAACAACTCTTCCTGCTGAATTTGAGTAAGAGAAGGTGGGAGAAGATACTGATAGGATGACATGATTCAGTTGTGAATGCTTAAAAGACTTCATTGTGATTGTAAACACTTGGAACTCTAGCATGAGCATAAAATGAGCCATCTCAGAAACAAGATGAGGGAATCTCACTATGTTCAAAGAAGATCCAGGAATGGAGAGGATCCTTTGGAGCCCAAGATTCAGAGACAGGAAGCTGTGACCTGGGAGGAGTGGCCCCGGAGGAGCAGCAGCAGAACCAAAAACCAGAGCACAAACAGAGCAGTGAGCTTCCCAGCCTACGGAGCAAGTCAAGTTGAGTGACTTAGGGCAGGAGGATGCCTCCAGACACTTAATTAAGGGAGCTGGATTTGCTGACCCACAGAGCCAGAACTAAGTGCCTTCAGGTTGAGGCATATGGTTGAGTGATACATTTGGGCATTTATCAGCAGCCCTAAAAGAGCTCTGTAACATCGCCTGGGCAGAGAGCGGCCTACCTGTGGACACAGCTGAGGAAAGGCTGTCCTGACTAAAACTCTGCCCTGAGCATTTTCTGATTCTGAATTATAACCTGCTAACTTCCCTAAGCAACACCCTAACTGTGAGTATGGTGTTTGAGTTCTTTGTGACCATTGCAATGGATTATTGAACCTAGCTGAGAAGCAGAGAGGGTTATGGGAGGAATGGTTGGTGCTGCTTTTTTTTTTTTTTTTCTCCCTTTTACAATAGGATACATTGCCCACTTTCAGGAGGTGTTCATGGTAGGCAGTGTGGATATGGTGTGTGTGTGTGTGTATATATATATATATATACACACACACACATACATACATACATACATACATATATATATATCGTTGTTCAGTGCTGTCGAGTCGGTTTCTGACCCATAGTGACCCTGTATATATATAATAGGTCCCTGCACTGTGGAAATGGTATATATAAATATATATATACATACATGTTTATATATATACTAAGTCCCTACATAAGGCGCTCTGGTAGTGTAGTGGTTATGAATGGGGCTGCAAACCACAAGGTCAGCAGTTCGAAACTACCAACTGTTCTGCGGGAGAAAGATAAGGTGTTCTACTCCCATAAAGATTTACAGCCTCAGAAACCCTATACAGGGTCGCTATGAGTTGGTTCTGACTCCACGACACACAGCCAGCCAGGTCCCTACATAGACTCTAATGTGGCACTGTAGAATAAGTACTGGACTGCAAACCACAAGGTCAGCAGCTCAAACCCACCAGCTGCTCCTTGGAAACTCTATACAGAGTCGCTATGAGTTGGAACCAACTCCATGGCACTTAACAGCAACAACAACAAGGTCCCTACCTACAGGGAGAGAGGAAAAAACCGCATCAGGTATTGATGTGTAATACAGAAATTAAAGTAAGATTCATGTAATAGTGACTGAGAGTGGGCTGTTTACACAATATAGACAGAGAAAACTTTTCTATGAAAGCTGTTATCTTATAGCTAAGGTCTTAAAGATGAGAAAATAGCTAAGTATGTAAAAACCTTTAAGAATAAGAATGGCCCAAGCAGAAAGGAAAGTTTTATGTGATGAACAGAGGGGCGGAAATGACCTGTTATGCCTAAAGTGAACAAGGAAGAGAGTGGCTTAGAGATGGTAAGAAAAACGAGATCTGAGAAGTGAGCAGGTAACATCATGAAGGACAACACAGGTCCTGGTAAGGAGTTGGGATTTTTATTATCAGGGCAGTAGCAAACCATTAAAAGGTTTAAAGCAGAAGAATGACATCATATGGTTCCTGTTTCTAAAAGATCTCTCAAACTGCTATGAAATGAGCGGTTAGGAACGCACAGGCTCAGACAGAGTAGATGTTGTTCTCATGGTCCAGGCAGAGAGATGCTGGTGGTTTGGACTCTGATAGCGGCAGCAGAGAGATAAGAATCAATGCATATTTTAGAGTTGGTGACAGATGTAAGAGTTGATAGTCAAATAAACTTCATATTTCACTTTAAAACTGGGTCACTGCTAAATGACTGGTGATAAATGAAATGGGGAAGACCTAAAGAGGAACAAGTTAGTGCATTTAAAAAATAAAAAAAAAATTAAGAGTTCCCTTTTGGAAAATAATTAAAGTTCAAGATATCTATTAAATTTCCATATGGAAATGTTAAGCAGGCAGTTAGAATTACAAGTCTGAAGTTCAACAGTGAGATCTGGCCTAAAGAAAAAAATTTAAGAACCACTATTTTATCAGTGATATTTAAAGCAATGAGGTTTTATGAGATTACCTAGCAAAAAGAGAAGAGGGCCCAGCATACAACCATGAGATAATCTAATATTCAAAGGTCAGAAAGAAGAAAAGATCGAGAAGGCCTTTGAAGCAGGTAAGACAGGTAGAAAGAAATTCAAGATAGGAGGGGTAAACAAGTGTACTGAGCTACTACTAAGTTCTTTCAGAGCAAATAATTTCGAAGGTGAACCCTAAAGGGCATATGTTCCTTCATTTCTTTGTACTTGAAGTCATCAAATCAAAGTGTAAATGTAAGCACACAGTAGGGTCTTCACTAACCAACAGCAAAAGCAGCAAAAGAAAATTAGCATAGCTTGTTTGCAACTCCTCCAATTACCTTGCATGAGGTAAAGCAGTAGCAGCCAAATAAAGATTCTTTGAGAGGTAACCTGAATCCACCAACTGCTGAACAATGGTAAAAATACAACTCGAACAAGCCCCTTCCGAGTCAGGGACGTCCATGGAATTTCAGGCTTGGCTTTGGCGAATGTTGAGCCTTTAAAGACACAGCAGAAGAAAACATCAAACATTTATCCGGATGCCTTACTTGTCATATCGTATCAAAAACAAGCAAGAGCAGAAATTCAAACACAGACTGTTATTCTTCTGGATATTTGTTCAAATAAATGCAGTCTCTTCTTTCGTTGATCACTTATTTCCTCAAAACAAGTTAGGCTCACTTGAAAGGTTACACATTATATTTTTCTTAATTAAAAACAACAGATATCTAAGTGTATCTTCCTTTCCCCTTAAAGAGACCAAGTCGCTCATATATAACCACAACATTAAGGCAAAGGGTGAACAAATGCTAAAACCTGGATGATCATTGTAAAATCATTGCAGAAAGATAAGAAATTAAGGTTCAACATTATCTAGGACAGAGAGCTAAAAAATAATTTTAAAAACAACAACATAATAGTACTGTAAGAAATAAACCAATTTTATAACTCACCTCTGATTAAGTCAACATCAATCAAGTCTGGCTTTATGTGACCCATCTTTTTTGGTTTGTTTTTAAAGCCCTATGATAAAACAAGATAAAAACAGAATTAAATTGGGGGGGGGGGAGAGAGGCAGTGAGGAGTGAAGCTGTGAATCTGTAGATGTAAGCATTAAAGTCAGTAGAGAAATAAATTCTTTTAAGGGGCAGGGTTGGTTTTTAGGCTTTTCTGTATCTTTTATGACTATCCAGTTATATCTGAACACCAAGCAACCTTTGCATGACTTGATTCCCACCTATGTCACGACCCCAACCACAATCCTGAGTGTGGGGCACTAGAAGATCATTTAGTCTTTCTCCTCCCCTATTATAAATTAAGAAATTACATTCTGAATTATACACCTATGGAGTGCTGTTCTACTCTGCACACATGGAATCATCATGAGTTGGAATCAAATAGGGTGGGTTTTTTTTTTAACTTTTTATTGTGAATTGAGTGGCTTACAAAGCAAATCATCAGCTTTACATTCAACAAACCATCTTACACTTTGGTTCACTACATGGCTGCAATCCCCTCCACGTACCAACAGTTAACAGTATTTACCTTTATTCGTTTTAACTATTGCATTCCTCCCTGTGTCTCCCGCTACCTTTATCTTTCCTTTGCAAACCTTCCTATTGTACACTGCCTGCCCTGTCATCCATGTTAACATGTGTTTACCCTCTAGCCCATGAATAATTTTCCCTCCCACTTCCCCCCTGTAACTATCAGATTGTTTCTTTTTTCAAGACCCCACCACCCCGGTTTTTTTTAAAAAACTTTTTATAACATTGGTCTCATACAATGTTTGTCCTTTTGTGATTGACTAATATTATTCAGCATAATGTCCCCCAGGCTCAACCATGTTGTGAAATGTTTTACAGATTATCATTATTCTTCAATGTTTTGTATTTTTCCATTGTGTATATGCATCAAAGTTTAACAGTTCTGTTGATGGAAATTTAGGCTATCTCCATCTTTGTGATAATGTCTCTTGTAGACAGCACACTGAAGGATCCTGTTTTCTCCTCTATTCTGCTCTTTATGTCCCTTGACTGGTACATTTCATTCATTTACATTCAGTGTGATTCTCAATAGGTATGACTTGAGTGCTGTCATTTTTCTGGGGTTTTTTTGGGGGGGGGTTTGTATGTGTGTATGTGTGTGTGTGTGGTGCTGTTGGACTCTTTGTTCTACTAATTTTCCATGCTGAGTTCATTTTCTTTGTGGGTTTTCTTGTCATTTTCATTTCTGTTGTGTTAATGTTTACTAAATCTTTCTGATTTCCCTCCCTTTTTTTGTATTTTGATGTGTAGATATATATTTTTTTTCTTTGAAGTTACCCTGTAATTTATTAATTTTTTTTCCCCTGCTTAAAACAGTCTGTTTTATCTTGAAGCCTATTTGACTTCCCTGGCACTTGGAAATTCTGTATCTACACTATTCCTTCTTTTTGCTTTGTAGTTGACTTCATTATACATTGATAGCTCTGTTACCCTATTTTTAGTCTTGTAGGTTTGTTTTGATGTGGTGCCGCGGAATAACGCGCTGGGCTGCAAGGTCAGTTTGAACCACAATGCAGTGTTCAAACCCACCAGCACACCTTGAAAACCCTATACAGGGTCGCTATGGGCCGAAACTGACTTGACAGCACTTAACAACAACAACAGGTTGGCTTTACTGTTGTCATGTATGGTAATCTCAAGTTGTTGTCTGCTGTTGTTAGTTCTCAGCCCAAAGAACACCCTTTAGTATTTTTTTGTAAAGTTGGTCTGGTCATTACAAATTTCTGTTTATTAGGAAATGTCCTAATTTCATCATCACATTTGATGGACAGCTTTGCTGGGTATATGATTCTTGGTTGGCAATCTCTTTCTTTCAAGAGTTTTGTATATCATTGCATTGCCTTCTTGCTTGCGTGTTTTCTGCTAAGAAATTTAAGCTTAGTCTTATTGATTCTCCTTTGTAGGTAACTTTTCATTTTGCCCAAACTGCTCTCATGATTCTTTCCTTGTCTTCTTGTCTTTAATTTGGTGATTTTCTATTAGGATCTATCCTGTTTGGGGTCCATTCAGCTTCTTGTAAGTTTATCTTCTTGTCTTTCAGGATCTTAGGGAAGTTTTCTCCCAACAACTCTTTGACAATTTTCTCTGTGCTTTTTATTATATCTTCCTATTCTGGAATCCCAATCACCCATAAGTGTTCCTCTTCATGATGTCCCACAGAACTCTTATGCTTTTTGCGGATTTTTTCATTCTCTTGTCTGATTGTTCTAGCATACTAGTATTGAGAGATTTCTCTTTAAGCTCACTAATTTGGGTTTCCATTGCTTCACATCTACTCCTTTGCCCTTTCAATGTATTGTCCACTTCTGAAATGTTATTATTAATCTTCTGGATTTCTAATTGCAGGTTTTGTATTGTTTTGAAATTTTCATTTATTTTGTCTGTTTTTTCTTGTAGTATTTTACTGAATTCTTCTAAAGTTTTTGTGTTCTTGCTTTCCAGATCTTTCTATCAATCCACTGAAGATACATAATTTTCATTCTTTTGAATTCTTTTTCAGCTAGATATATTACCTTTTATTCCTCAAAAAGGTTTTCTGTCTCTGTCTCTTGGTCATTTGTTTGAGCCCTTCTCCCTTGTTTCTACGCATGAGTTAAAATTGTCTGTTGTCTTTGGGGTATTGAGGGGTTGTCATATTTGTAAAAACAAACAGCACAATTGTTAGACTCGAGGGGAGAAATCTCTGGGGAACTCCTGTAATTCAGGGAGCTTGGGAGGTGGCTGTGGCCCCAGACGGAGTGCCTGTTGGCCCTGTTGTTATCTATGTTCAGGACACTCAATCCGGAAGTAGTTCTTGGGGGTTCTTGATGTAGCTGGTTTCAGTGTCTATTACAAACATAGGGAACTGGGGGCAGGGTGACTGGTTACAAGCTGGCCTGGTGACACTGTGGGTTTGGTAGTCCTACAGGCAAGCCTACCTGAATCCAGGCACCAAAGTGGCACACCAAAGCAGTGCAGCCGGATCCCACCTCACACTGGCACGGCTCCTAACCACACAGCTCAGAACTCCTGAAGAGTAGGGTCTGTGCTGGGGATGGATGAGGGTGGTAGCTAGCCATACTTCTGGTCATCAGGGGAGATTGAGGAAAAAGAAATCACACATCTTCCATCACATGTGCAAAACTGCTCTGCCAGATCTCCCCCTCTGCTGCCAAAATGGTTCACATGATGGTGGAGCTGCATCTGCCTGACGTTCACTAGTCAGTCTCCCTCTCTCAATGTCCCTACTTGGCCTCTTCTCCCAGCAAGCACCTCTCCAACCTTTCTTCTGAAGAAATTCAGGGTGCCAGAATTTTCATGTCTCTATTTTATTTTGTCTCTCCTACCTTTATTGTAGAAGGTCCTTGTATATAATGTGTCTGCCTAGTCCACCATCTTGTCATGCTGTTAAGTGCCATGGAGTTGGTTCGAACCTATAGCGACCTTGTATAGGGTTTTTAAGGAGTTTTTTTAGGGTTTAGTGAGCTTAAATCGCCAACCTTGAGGCTCAAATCGACTTTGCAGTCCAGCGTCTTGCTATACATCTTAGTTTTGGGTTTTTAAAATACCCATTTATGTGTATATTTAATATAATAAAACACCAAATTATTTTTGCTGTTGATAAGATACACTTCCTATTAATGTGGGACTTCTGCTATTTATATGGGACTTTTGCTCTCCAATTCATCATAGCCCCAATCATGCCTTTATTCTGACACTGAAGCTAAATGCCATGTATCATATGCTTTCACTATGGTTTCTTTAAATATTTCAAAAGATATAAAAAGGCCATGCTTACTAGATAAGAACTGACACTACAGATTAAAAACTAAGTACAAGATACTTTTCACATCAATGCAGCAAAACAAAGCTAGAATCAAATGAGCTAATTTACCTTAATCTGAGTCTGTTCGATTGACTTTTCCCATATCTGCTGATCATATGCTCCAATCTGAAAGAAGCAGCAGGCTTAGATAATGTAAAGGAAATCCTCACACTTAAGTCTTTTCTCACAAAAGTAAAAAACTATTAAGTAGCAGTATGATATCTCAAGGAGTTCTGGTAGCATAGTGGTTACCAGTCAGGCTGCTAGCTTCAAGGTCAGCAGTTCTAAACTACCAGCTACTCCACTGGAGAAAGATGAGGCTTTCTGCTCTGGTAAAGATTTACAGCCTCTGCAACTCTATACAGAGTTGCTAAGAGTCAGAATTGACTCCACAGCACACCACCACCACCACCACCACCACCACGATATCTCAAAATGTGTGTGCTTCTCAAGAGTTCGAATAAATTAATACTTCTAAGGACTGTTTCCTTCAAATCCTTACAAGTTGGCTCTAAAAGTCTGTTAAAAATACTTAAACGCCCAAAATATTACAAATTAAATATTACCTTAAAAGATAGTTCTAATTCTTCAGGAAAATCAGAATAGAAAAACTAAAGAGGACTATAATGGCAGTTACAGCTCAAGGAGACTGTTGACAGTACTAATCTGAGCTGTGCAGATAAAGGTTTCACGCCCTTAAGAAACATCAGTTTGATCAGAAGCAGACTTTTAGAGGATTATCCTGGCATTATATATGCAGAGTAGGACAGGGGCTTAAAAATGTTATTATGGGATGTAGAACTGGATTTAAAAGGCATAAAAATGGGTCTATTTATACGGAGAAATATAATTAATACGTGGCACTACTAAACTCAGGAGAAAGTTACATGATAATTCTTTATGAGAGCTTTTTCCAAGAACTATGCTTTAAAAATATATATATATCGATATTGATATTACCTTCTTTTGGTACCATGATATAGCATCTCTCTCATTTGAGGCCATCTGTATCTCCAGTTAAAAAATGGGATTTCACTGAAAATTAAGGAAAACCAGTTGGTGAGTCCGGTTACTCTTCCAGTGTGGGTAAGGCTGGAAAACCGCTTCTCGCAGCCTCTCCATATCTGCTGTGTCTTTCTCCGGCTGTTTGCCAGGTAAACAAAACTGGCGCAGTGGAGACCCGGAAACCCTCTGTGTAGCGTTTTGTTCTAAGGTATTTGGATATGGAGAAGGGGAAAGGGAGGGAAGGTCGCTGGAGTTGACATCAGTCCTCCCCACCCCTCTCCCTTCCCCAGCGCCCAGCTCTCACCTGGTGCCCGTTGCCCCGCAGTCCAGTGGCCGGGGCCCTTCTCCTCAATGGCCCCGGCCCGGCCGTGGCACCCAGGGCGAGACTGCGGGCTCCGCAGGCATCATCTTCTCCCTGAGACCCAGACGCCGCAGGGCCGTTACCATGGAGACGCCGAAGGCCGCCCCAGCCTCGGAAGAAGCCGGTTGCCCAGCGCCCAGCGCCCAGAGGAGGGCAGTCTTTTGCTACAGAAGCGGCGCCCTCCAAGCCCTAATTTGTACAGGGTCACCTAACTGACATAAAAGAAGCAAAGAATAAACTGGGAAATGAGGGGAGGGAAACGTGAAGAGATTCTTAGCTAGGCCACCAGGTGGAGTGGCAAAAGGCTTTGTGTCCCACCGGAAAAGGCAGGTGCAAAAGCAGCTGCTTCAGAGGGACGGGGCTGTATGCGAGCGTTGGTCTTGTCTTGATTGGGCCAGGCCAGGCCAGGCCGTGACTCAGCGGGCGAGAGCTGGGACTGCAGACCACCACGCAGCCCAACCGCGGCTTCCGCTTTCCGGGTTTAGCAGCGAAGGTGGCTCCGCCCCCCGGCCCGACTCCTCACTAAGCAGCCTGACGCCTGGCTTGAGGACGAACTACTGGGGAGCCGCACTGCGATCCATGGCCCAGAGCAGCTCCCAGGCCCTGCCCGCTCACATCACCTCTCAGGTCTCAGCTTAAAAGTCACTTCCTCAGAAAGGACTTTCCCATCCATCGATCTAAAGGAGGTCGGTCCTGAAATTCTAATAGTTTATTTCATTCTAGCACTCATCACTGTTTAGAGGTTTCTTTGTGTTTAATATCGGTCTACCCCAGTGTGTTGTGGGCTTTATGAGGGCAGAGACTGGGATCTAGCAGGAACCTGGCACATAGGTTCTAAATATTTGTCGTGAAAAATCGTTCGTGTGAATTTACACTGTCCTGGGACGAAGGATCTGGCAGGTTGTGTTTTAGTGACTTTCACCCTTTTTCGTAACTCAGCAGCTCTGGGATTTCGGCTTTTTGGGTGGGTGCTCACAGGGTAGGAAAAGGTGGCAGGTGGAAGAAATGTTTCTAGGTTACGAATTTAAGCAAGTTGATAAAACATCAGGCGAAAGTTTGGGTTGCACTCCACTCTTAAGTGCCATGGAGTCGGCTCTGACGCATTGGGTTTCCAACAGCTGGTGGGGCTTGAACCACCCTAATCCAGTGCTATCCTAGAGCCACACCAGGAAGTTAAGTTGTTGTTGTCAACTGCCGTCGAGTTGGTTCTGACTCATAATGACCCTGTATAGGGTTTCTAAGGAGCGGTTATTGAGTTTGAACTACCAATCTTGCAGTTAGCAGTCCACTGCTTATCCCACAGCGCCACACCTTAAGTCCAATTGTTGTTAAGTGCCATGGGGTCAATTCTGACTCATAGCGACCCTATATAGGGTTTCCAAGGAGTGACTCATGGGTTTGAACTACCAACCTTGCTGTTAGCAATCCAGTGCTTATCCTACAGCAACACACCAGGAATAGTTATTGTTATCATTGTTGCAAAGTGCCGTGTGGCTCCTACTCACAGCGACCCTGTAGTTTTCGCCAGCAGCTGGCGGGTTCGAACCGCCAACTTTGAGGTTTAGCAGTCCAGCACCACACCAGGAATAGTTCCTGCCATTGAGTTAACTGCCATTGAGTTGGTTCTTACTCATAGCAAACCTTTATAGGGTTTCCAAGGAGTGAATGGTGGGGTGGAACTGCAAACCTTGAGGTCTGTAGTCCAGGGCCACACCAGGAATAGTTATTTGCCCTGTAATTGGTTCCTACTTCTTGTCAAGTGCCGTGGAGTCTGTTCTTACTCATAGTGACCCTGTATGAGGTTTGCAAAGTGAAGCGGGTGGGTCTGAACCGCCAACCTTGCTGTTAGCAGTCCAGTGCTGTTAATATAGGTTTTAAGCCACTATCCTCCTTCCCCTCAAACACTTTTTGCCATTAATGGCCATTTTTCTCACCTCATTTGAAGGAATGTTGTAGGCTTTCCGGGTAAAGCTAATGGCAGATAAAAGGTTAGAATTGCTACTATGTGAGAAACCTGGTTAAATGCAGTTTAGTTGATTCCCACACCCTATAGAGTTTCGAAGGAGCGGTTGGTGGGTTTGAACCGCCCAGTTTGAGGTTAGCAATCCAGTGCTTATCGTATGTGCCACATCAGGACTCCAAGAAGCCTTAGAGGTGTGGTAAATATTTCTCACACTCCATAAAATCTGCGAAAATTACAATCTTAACTATGAGAAAATGTTCCTAAGAAGGTAAGATAACTCACAGGGCCTAGTTTCTTTAAATCTCACTTTCACCTTCAACTTGCACATGTTGAAGGTAGTTTTCTTTTTGCTTTTGCTTGTTGACAATTTTCCCCTTAAACATTATAATCCTGTTTTGTTTCAACACAAATGGCCTTTTATTTTATTTGGGGGGGGGCACGTAAGGGGAGACCTGGATAAATGACAAATGCATATATCTTGCTTTAAGACGTAAATTATATTAACAGCAAAGTATTTTACTTCAATTAGTACACAAAAGAGGTCTGGTGTGAAGAAAGTGGAATAATACAATCAGTTAAGTCACAACCATTTTTTCAGGATTCTGGTTACAAACTTCAGTGCATCCTGAGGCTGCCACTGAAAAGCAATCATGGGGTCTGAAACTGTAACTACATTCAACTCACTGCCCTCACTAACTAGCTTAGGCAAGTTCTCCAACCTCCCTTGGCTGTTTTCTCGCCTGTGTCATGGTGGTAGTTACTTTTCTATTTAATGAAATACCGTCATGTAAAGTGCTGGAGGCACTGCAGTTACACAGTGTTGGTGCCTTTCCTTTTATTTTCCTAATCAGAACCCAGGGCTAGCTAGCTGCTCACTGCTTAAGATCTGTACCTCAATTAAAGGGACGTTTACATAAACAAAAACTGATGCCAAAAAATAGATAGATAGATAGATAGATAGATAGATAGATAGATAGATAGATAGATAGATAGATAGATAGATATAGATAGATATATGTCACTTGATATCAGTGTATACACAGCAGCTTCATTAATAAATACCACATACACTTCCAGAAGTAGCTGTCACCAGAAATAAAATTTTTTGAAAACTTTTCTCTCAAAAGAAAGGTACAAGCCAATTTAAGCGGCAGCAGGCATAAATGCCAAATTTAATTTTTCTTCTTCCACAAAGCTAGTTGCATTTCAATATTGATGGAATTTCCTCCAGATATCTATGCCCTTTTCTTTAGGAAAAAGTCACAGGATTCTAAAATACTAGAAAATATTAGGTGATACAGAGGGGATAGGAAGCCTTGCTGGCACCTTGGTTAAGCACTCAGTTGGTAACCAAAAAGATCAGTGGTTCAAACCCATAGCAGTTCCACAGGAGGAAAGACATGGCCATCTGCTCCTGTAACGATTACAAACCCTACTCTGTCTTTACAGAGTCATTAGGAGTCAGAATCTAAATCAACTGGAGGGCACAGATTAACACAGAGGTGGGTTGGGGATAGGAACCAATAAACCCGTGAAGATTTACAACCTCAGAAACTCTGTAGAGGGTTGCTATGAGTCAACCGACTCCACAGCACATAACAACAACAACAAAGAGGTTTCAGGTCTAGAATTCCCATAAATATGCTACTCATTTTGTGAAGAAACATGAGTAAAGGACAAATCAGACTTTGTTTATTAAAAAAATACTTTACAGGAAAGAAAAAAAAACCTCTATGCATTCCATTGTCCTATTTTACAAAGAAATAGCTTTAACAATTTAACACACTTAGACAGCTACAAAAAAAGCACTGTGTTAAAAGGATTATTCACACAAATTTAGATTTAAGACTATTCATTAAAAACTTTTTTTAAAACACTTGTTAATGTCAATAAACAAACTAAGGCCACACAACGCAAATAGTCCACCAGGCAAATTATACATTTCATCTATATGCAAAGACCTCTTAGATAAAATTAAAGCCACAGGAAAAAAAAGTCTTAGCTGCCAATCAAAATGGAGTTTAGTCACAGAAAACACCATTACATGAAAATTTACAACATGTGATAGAAGTATACTTAAGTGTTTCTTTAGAGAGAATTGAAAGTGCTATATTAAGAGACATAGTCTCCTCAACTACATGCACAAGTGGATCCTAAAAAATGTAGCAAATGGAAGGCCGTAATATTTATGGAGAGATACTTGCTTTTAAAGCAACAAACATTCAGGATAAGGATACGTCCCTTAGGTGCTAAAGAAAAAAAAAATGTCCTGTGTATTTCCCCTACCTTCTGCATAAACAATAAATACAGATATAACCTGTTTTTTAAAAAATTAAACTTAACAAAAATGTGAACTTCCGGCATGTACTAGTCAAAGGTTATTTTTCTGTAACCTGTTAAGTGCTGTCGAGTCAGGTCCAACTCTTGTTAACCTGTAGCATTGATAAAATACTCAATTATCCTAAAGAGAAATGCAAATTAAATGTTATTGGCAAATACCATGGGGCTTCAATAAGTTCATGGAAAAATGGAATTAAAAGAGAATGAAATTTTTCCATAAACTTTTGAAGCCTCCTCATATAGATGAAAATATTATGGGCTAGTATTAATAAGAATATTTTCACTAAGGGTTTTCTTGGGTTTTGGAGTCTTGTTCCTATATAAGCTTACATTCTAGATAGAATATTTATATGGGGAACAGCAGTAAGCAAGTTTCCCCAGGAATTGTTAAGTGTGAACTTTATGCCTATCTAAGACTGAGGCAAGACATCTTTTCCTAAGGTTTAATAAAGAATTTTAGTAAAAAGGTCCCTT